GTTACCATTACTATTACTATTATGACTACATCATTATTATTATTGTATTAATTATTATAATGACAACAATAATAATAGTACTACTAATTCTTACTAGTAGTTGTTGTCTTTCTTCTTCTTCTTCTTCTTCTTCTTCTTCTTCTTCTTCTTCTTCTTCTTCTCCTCCTCCTCCTCCTCCTCCTCCTCCTCCTCCTCCTCCTCCTCCTCCTCCTCTTCCTCTTCCTGTTGTTGATGTTGAAACATCCGGGCATCTCTTTCGGCCACTTTTCACCTGTTTTTATTATTTTCCTAGGTCACTAATGATAATAGGAACAACAGATGTTTATTATTATTATTATTATTATTATTATTATTATTATTATTATTATTATTAATAATGACACAATTACTGTTACTATTACACTACTATTATTATTATTTGTATTAGTGTTATTATGGCTATTACAATTACTATAATTATTGTTGTTATTCCTATCTTTATCATTATTATTGTTGTTATTATTATTGTTATTATTATTATTATTATTATTAAAATTATTGTTATTATTATTATTATTGATAGTAGTATTATTATTATTGTTAATTTAATTAATCATTATTATCTTATGATTTATTAATTTTTATTTTAATTGTTATTGTTATTATTATTTTATTATTATTATTATTATTATTATTATTATTATTATTATTATTATTATTATTATTATTATTGTTGTTATCATCATTATTATAATTATCATTATCATCATCATCATCATCATCATCATCATCATCATCATCATCATCATCATTATTAAGACTATCATTGTTATTGGTGTTTTATTATTATTATTGTTATTGTTGTTGCTGTTGTTATTTTTATTATAATTATGATTACTGTTATTATTATTGTTATCATTATCATTATTGTTGTTATTATTATTATATATTTATTTATTTGTTTATTTATTTATTATTATTATTTTTTCATTAATATTTTCCTTTATTTAAGTACTGTAATTATTATTATTGACTATTATTATTGTCACCATCGCCATCCTCTCCCACGAACTCTGAATTGTTATTTTGATTATCATGATCAATATTATTATTAATATTATGTTATTTTTATTGCTTCTGTTAGTATCATCATCACCATGATCGTTATTAACATTAGTATCGTTCCTATTATCATTATTGCTGTCATAATTATTTTCATGTTCATTATTTTCTGTCATCATTGTTATCATTATCAATATATATACTGTATATATATTTTTTCTTTTCTTTTCTTTTTTCTCTTTTTTTATTTTTATCATCATTGTTATTATTATTATTTGCGTATATATATATTTTTTTTTTCATTATATTACTATGATTATGATGATAATATTATGATGTCGATGATTATCATCATTATTATAGTTGTTGTTGTTGTTGTTGTTGTCGTTGTTATCATTGTCCATGTCCTTATTGTTTTTTTTTTTTATTATTATTATTACTTTCTTTTTTATTATTTTTATTTGTAGTACTATAATTATGATAATAATTATAATAATAATAATAATAATTATTATTATTATTAAAATTAAAATTATTAAATAATGTTAACCCATTGCTGCCGGGCATGGCATGTATGTGAGTCGACTTGTGTGATTGTTTTTACACATAGATGGCTACACTTGTACGAAGTCACCAGTGAGCCAATTAGGAGTACTGTCTGTCTCGCCCGTTCACCCTTTTCATCGATTTACGAAAATATTTAACATTTTCCTGATTTGCTGTTAAAAATACACCATCTATATTTATAGCACTAGTAAGAATACGTTTTTTCCCCGCCAATTCAAGGAAAGGAGAAATCAGGACTAGAAGAGCCATCTATGGACAGAGATATTTCACAAAATTTTTAAAAATGAGTACAGCATTTTCCCCTTTTTTGGTTCATTTTCCCCGGAGGCAATGAGTTAATATTATTATGATTATGATTATTATGATGATTTTCATCATTGTTGTCATTATTGTTATTATTATTATATTATTATTATTAGTAGTAGTACTACTAGCAGTAGTTTTATGTTGTTATTAATTATTATTATTGCTGTTATTATTATTATTATTATCATTATTATTATTATTATTATTATTATTTTTATTATTATTTACTGTTTACTTTTATTATTTTTTACTATTATTATTACTGTTTATTATCATCAGCAGCATCAGCATCATATTATTATCTTTATTATTATGATAATTATTATTATTGTTCTTTGTTATGCTGTAATATTATTATTGTTATCATTATCATTATTGTTGTTATTATTACTATTATTATCATTATTATTATTATTATATTATTATTATTATATTATTATTATTATTGTTATTATTATTATTTATTATTATTTTTTTTTAATTAATATTTTCCTTTATTTAAGTACTGTAATTATTATTATTGACTATTATTATTGTCACCATCGCCATCCTCTCCCACGAACTCTGAATTGTTATTTTGATTATCATGATCAATATTATTATTATTATTATTATTATTATTATTATTTTTATTATTATTATTGTTATTATCATCATCACCATGATCGTTATTAACATTAGTATCGTTCCTATTATCATTATTGCTGTCATAATTATTTTCATGTTCATTATTTTCTGTCATCATTGTTATCATTATCAATATATATACTGTATATATATATTTTTTCTTTTCTTTTCTTTTTTCTCTTTTTTTATTTTTATCATCATTGTTATTATTATTATTTGCGTATATATATATTTTTTTTTTCATTATATTACTATGATTATGATGATAATATTTATGATGTCGATGATTATCATCATTATTATAGTTGTTGTTGTTGTTGTTGTTGTCGTTGTTATCATTGTCCATGTCCTTATTGTTTTTTTTTTTTATTATTATTATTACTTTCTTTTTTATTATTTTTATTTGTAGTACTATAATTATGATAATAATTATAATAATAATAATAATAATTATTATTATTATTAAAATTAAAATTATTAAATAATGTTAACCCATTGCTGCCGGGCATGGCATGTATGTGAGTCGACTTGTGTGATTGTTTTTACACATAGATGGCTACACTTGTACGAAGTCACCAGTGAGCCAATTAGGAGTACTGTCTGTCTCGCCCGTTCACCCTTTTCATCGATTTACGAAAATATTTAACATTTTCCTGATTTGCTGTTAAAAATAACACCATCTATATTTATAGCACTAGTAAGAATACGTTTTTTCCCGCCAATTCAAGGAAAGGAGAAATCAGGACTAGAAGAGCCATCTATGGACAGAGATATTTCACAAAATTTTTAAAAATGAGTACAGCATTTTCCCCTTTTTTTGTTCATTTTCCCCGGAGGCAATGAGTTAATATTATTATGATTATGATTATTATGATGATTTTCATCATTGTTGTCATTATTGTTATTATTATTATATTATTATTATTAGTAGTAGTACTACTAGCAGTAGTTTTATGTTGTTATTAATTATTATTATTGCTGTTATTATTATTATTATTATCATTATTATTATTATTATTATTATTATTTTTATTATTATTTACTGTTTACTTTTATTATTTTTTACTATTATTATTACTGTTTATTATCATCAGCAGCATCAGCATCATATTATTATTATTATTATTATTATTATTATTGTTCTTTGTTATGCTGTAATATTATTATTGTTATTATTTTTAATGTTAGTATTCGTATTAGTATTAGTATTACAGTTGTTATTATATAATTTTATTATTACTATTTACATTATTATTACTATTGGTTTTGTTACTATACTGGTATTGTTATTGTTATCATTATCATTATCATTATTGTAATTTTTTAT